TATGTGTTCCAGGTATAGGATTCCTTTACTTTTCCAGTCCGGAAGGTTCATCATTTTGTTGTTTGGCAAAATGTCAGGATTATTCCAGATAGGTGTGCGTCTGCATGGTACTAGTGAAGACTCTGTCATTTTAAGATACTCCCACCATGCTGTCAGAGAGGTGCTGATACTAATATTTTTGAAGCCTTCATGTTTTCTTATGCTTGAGCTAATAAATGGTAAGTCTGAAAGCTCTATCGTATTGCAAAGTGTCTGTTCTATATCTAACCAGGACTCATCTATTGGGTTATCTTGCAACCATCTTGGTATATATTGCAGCCTGTTGGCTAAGAAATAATGATAAAAGTTGGGTAGATCCAGTCCTCCTCTGTCTTTGGTCTTCTGAAGCGTTTTTAAGCTAATTCGTGGAGGTTTATCCTGCCAAAGGAATTTAGTAATTGATGAGTCCAGAGATTTAAACCGGTCAGCTGGTGGTTTGTTTGGGATCATTGAAAATAAGTAATTTATTCTGGGTAAGACCATCATTTTAATTGTAGCAACTCTCCCCATGAGTGATATTGGTAAGGATTTCCATCTTGCAAGATCATCTTCCACTTTCTTTAAAATTGGGATGTAGTTTAGTTTGGTTAGATCTGCTAACTTGGGAGAGATATTAATTCCCAGGTATGTGATATTCCCTGACTCCAATTGTGTATTAAGCAAATTGACAAATGAGAAATTAATTGGTAGAACTGTGGATTTTAACCAGTTTATAGAGTAATCTGAAACTCTGGAAAAAGAGTTTATCAGTTCTATTGAATGGGAGAGAGAGGATTGAGAATTCTGGAGAAAGAGTAAAACATCGTCTGCATAAAGACTGATCTTATGTTCTATTTTCTTACACTTTATCCCTTTAACGTCTGTTGTTTGCTTAATTGCTACTGCTAGTGGTTCAATAAAGATAGCAAATAGTGAGGGGGAGAGTGGGCATCCCTGCCTGGTCCCCCTCTGAAGACAGAAGCTAGCTGATATTTGGTCTTTTGTCCTGACACGTGCTGTTGGTGACCTGTATAATGTTTGTAGCCAGTTTATGAAGAAGTTCCCAAAGCCAAATTTATGTAAAGTTGCAAATAAGAACTTCCAGTTAACTCTATCAAAAGCTTTTTCTGCATCTAGAGATAATATACGAGTTTCTATGTTTCTACTGTAAGAGAAATCTGTCAAATTAAGTAATCTACGTGAGTTTGTGGATGACTGTCTACCCTTAATGAAACCAGTTTGGTCAGGGTGTCTTATGAAGGGGGTTACCTTCTCTAATCTTTTTGCCAGGGCTTTACAAATTATTTTGAGATCAACATTAATAAGAGAAATTGGGCGATAGCTGGTAGGAAATGCTGGGTCTTTTTTTAGAGAAACGTCCCGGCTTCAAGTCGATGGTTTATCTCAAGAGACAAAGGTTCTGCTTCTGTTTCTTCTAGTTGCATTGCCTGTTTCCGTTTAGATTTTACTTCATGTGTTCATCAGAAAAGACTGAAAATAAAGAGTTTTTAGGAACATGAGTAAGACTGACTGCTATTATAGCAACTTAAATATCCACCTCCAGTAGTGCATTAAGGTCTGAAACACTGGCTAAAACAATCTGAGAACAAATATTTTTATATTGGTTCAGTTTTTACAGATACTTTTATTTTGAAGAGGTCTGTTCAGCTTCCTACTGTAGTTTTCCGTCACTCTAACAAATATGCAAAAAGCAAGCCCATCTCACGCAAGCAACGGCACCCTCAGTGATTTTATTTTCCTGTCATACGTAGAAACAAAATGTTTCTTTGCTTTTTGTCCCAAACATCTTTTCTTCAGATTTCACGCACCAACACTTTTGAAGTTTTGCTGTCATTTCTCTTTTCAGCAGCAGCGTAACCCGCTCATGGATAACAAACATACTTTACTAATAAGTCTGCTGAAGCTGCTGGACTGAGACACATCACCATCATGTTAGTGATCCTGTCATCCTGAGGTTAATGAAAGCAGGATCGCTGACTGTCTCAGACATTATCTGTGTGTGTGTGTGTGTGTGTGTGTGTGTGTGTGTGTGTGTCTGAGGAGTTTGAAAGTCTTTAATGTGAGAGTTTTCTTCATGGAGCAAACACACAGCATCCCTTTTTATCCCTCCACCTGCTCCTTCCACTGCCTCAGAAACCCCCCACCCCAACAGAGATTAGCTCTGTGTGTGTGTGTGTGTGTGTGTGTGTGTGTGTGTGTGTGTGCATGCGGGGGTGGGGGCGTTAAAGAGAGGGTGAGTGTGTTCAATGGGGATTTGGGGTTTACAAAAGAGACAAGAAAGCAAAAGTGATGCCATGAGGCTCACTTTTTCTCTCCTATCAGTTCTCATCTGGACAGTCAGTTTTTGACAGGAGAAAAGACCTTTATCTGGAAGGAGCTGTGCCTGTCAGGCCGACACACACACACACACACACAGAGAGAGAGAGAGAGAGAGAGAGAGAGAGAGAGAGAGAGAGAGAGAGAGAGAGAGAGAGAGAGAGAGAGAGAGAGAGAGAGAGCAGGTAATCAGCCCACTCGTGGAGGTAGAGGAAGCTGAATACTCTGGAGTCAGCACGGACAAGACTTTTATTTTGAAGAGTCGCCTGATTCTAGACGTTCTGAGGGAATGTTAAGTTTCTGTTTTTTAAGTCGTTATGTGTTAAGTTAAAAGTTACAGAGAGATGAGGCTAAAGAGCAACCAGAGTAAACCAGACTGAGGGAGTTTATTTGGTTTAAAGGAGCTCCGCTTTACCTTACTGTAAACCTCCAGGTCTTCGTCCTCGTCCAAGTCCAACATGTGGTCTGAGATGTCCGCAGGGACCGTGTGTCCACTCATAACACTGTCCAACTTTTACAAATCAGCTGTCTACTCCGAGACAAACTTCCTGCACAAGTTTTGTGAGACAAACACAAGAGCATAAGGAGCTGTGCCTGTCAGGCTGACACACACACACACACACACACAGAGAGAGAGAGAGAGAGAGAGAGAGAGAGAGAGAGAGAGAGAGAGAGAGAGAGAGAGAGAGAGAGAGAGAGAGAGAGAGAGAGAGAGAGAGAGAGAGAGAGAGAGAGAGAGCGAGCAGGTAATCAGCTCACTTGTGGAGGTAGAGGAAGAAAAGGGCTCTCCCTGAGTACCCCCCCCCCCCACCCCCCGACTGGATTAGAGCCCACCGGTGTTCAGTCCAGGCGCTGTGAAGGATGAAGGGCCGAGGGGTCGGCGTAGGGTTAATTTTCCCAGCAGTGTGTGAGACCACATCCTGCTGTTTGCTGTCTGACAGATCACCTGGACTCACAGCCTGCTGCCGTGCCTGGAATTACATCTACCTGTCCTCTCAGTGCGAGTCAGATGTAGGACTTTCTACGGGACGTCTCCATCTGAAAGCATCCGTTACTTTAATTTCACATTTCTAGTGTGTAATCTTAGCTACTAATATGTCTTAACGCCATAATTGCTGCCACTTAAAGTGCACTGTCTCGTCTTCCCTAAATGTAGTGATGGTGTGCTTCTGTTGTTGCAGATGACAGAGGAGGAGTTCATTAACTATGATTAGGAAGAGCTGCAGTCAGTGAACCAGCCGGGGTTCTAGCTCAGTACTGCGCTCACTAATTACTTTCTTTTCCTTCACTTTCCTCTTCTTTCCACCAACTGATTCCACATTTTTCTTCCTTGCAGCATCGATGAGAGGAAGTGTGAAGAATTGGGCTGGAGCTCTCTCTGCTGGTCCACTGTTATTAGAATGAAAGAGTCGGGACTTGCTGCAGAAGACAAGTGATTAAAATAGGATTTCAGTGCAAAAGTTCAAAGGAGCATTTATTTTTTTTACCATTTGTTTTGCCCCACATGTTTGAGCCATTGCAAATCATCACACATTTGCATGTAAACAATCATTTATTTCATGAACTGTTGTGAAATTTTTGAAATCTTGAATATTTTGGGTGGTCGGCACGTGTTGGCCTTGTCCTCACACCAGCAGTTAGCGCCTCAGTCCTGTAAGATTTATTGCATGGTTTTTCAAAATAAATTACCCCACCAGTGTATATACTGTAGATGTTCTAAGCGTTATCTGCGTGTGAGCTGGCAATGATCTGTGGATCAGGTGGGATCATTGGGCCCTGGGTGGAAGACCCATGCTTTAGGAGATAACATATCTATTTTTCCAAACTGAGGTTGTTCAGCAATTAATGTAGAATGGTTGAGATGGTGAATACTTAAAAAAAACACTTCCTGGTGGTAGAAAAATCCCTTTTAAAGCAGATTAATGCTTCAGGGACACTTGTAAAAAGAGGTAACACAGTATTTCCTGATGACATCACTCAGTAGGTCAAAGTTCAAACATGTGGGTTAAATTTCAAGACTTTCAACTAAAATCAGGGCAGCAGTAAGGCAGCAGGACGCTAAAGCAAACACCAGCTGGTAGTCTCTGATTGTACTCGTGTGTCCCTGCCCCAACCCGCCCCCCCCCCCCCCCCACCCCCACCCACACCCACACACACCCACACACACACACACAGACCTGGTCCAACCCAGACCAGCTGATCCGATCCATCTCCTGTCCCTCCAGGGATTCCTGCTGTGGCTCCTTGGATGCTGGCACCCTGTTCATCCCCCTTATGCTCCGCAGGCTTGTCCTTTGCATTAAACACTTATTAAATGTTGTGCACGTATGAAGTGGTGAAAACATTCGTGCAAGATGACAGAGCAGTGGTGCTTGTCTTATAATCTCTAGTGTTTCAGGTTGTCTCATGGTGGACATGGCGTCAAAAGTAAAATGGGACTTTGAGTCTTTTTTTCCCCTTTGCTTTAAATTATTCATTTAAATTTATGAAAGCATGAATGTTTAAGTTTTTTTCTTGGTTTTTACAAAATAATTTGAAAGCAAAAGGATTGTTTTGTGTAATCCAGTTTCAGATTCAGGCGTTATTTTAAAACCTGATTAATATAAAAGATGGGCTCTCCTTTTAGAAAAAGAAAAAAACATTGGTTTTCAGTTTCCCATCATGCTCTCTGGGAAAACAGGCTCACGTTATCACTTTTATTTCATTCATATGAAGAAATTCTATAATGTTTCCATATTTAAATTAGAATAGAAACCTGCAATCGTCTACATTGTTCTAAATCGTTGTAGGACCAGAGGAGTTCATGTTCATTATGAGTGCATGTAAACCACTTCCTGTCCAGTTGGTGTGCTGTGAGTCCCAGTGCAGGACGTAGAAATGTCAGTTCCTCGCTCTAACGCGGCTCACTGTCTGGAACGGAGCGCACGCCCCACCAGCATGAAGACCAGCCCAGACGAGATCTCCAGAGGCACGCCGGCCGCCGCCACCATGAACGACTGGCCGTAGTACACGTCCACGTAAGCATCTGGACACCACGCTCTCCTCTCCTGCAGAATATAGCTCCTCACATCCACCAGCTCCACCCACAGGGCGTAGAACAGAAGCGTGGACAAGAAAAGGCAACCTGCAGAGGGTTTACAGAGAATCAGGGGAATGCAGCCATGATCATTTCTGCTGTTGCCACGGCAGCGATGTTTCCACCAGCTGGGGAAACAGCAGAGGGGCACCTGCTGCTGTCTGTGTTTGAAGCATGTTAATCATGTGACTAGAACAAACAGCTGACATGTTTGTGTGTGAATATTCTGCATTTCTCTGCTGGCAGGACCTATTTTAACTCCACTCATGTAGCCAACAGAAGTTTATATTTACCAGCTGCGATCAGGAAAGCTCCGCCCACTTTGTAGAGCTTGTGGCTGATGAAGGGAACACCGCAGACCAGGAGGAAGCTTCCCACCAGAGCTGCAAACAGCCCAAGGATGATGAAAACGGTCCAGAACCCCCGGAACACTGCAGGAAGCACAGGGAGAGAGTTCACAAAAGCATGACGGAAGTCAGGTTTAGGGAGACTTGAGCTAATATAATCTTTCATGGCCAAATCTGCTTATGTAGGTTGGTTCTATATGAGGAGAGGTTCTGGTCCAGACTGATATGACATCATCGCACAGCTCCACCTATGACAAGAAGCTTCCGTTCAACCACATCCCAAAGGTTCTGGACTAGAGATCGGGTGGCTGTGGAGGTCGTTGGGGGGTGCATGATCCTGCTGGAAGTAGCCACCAGAAGATGGGTCCATGTGGGCATGAAGGGATAGGCATGGCCAACAATAGGTAGGCTGTGGTGTTTAAATCAGCCTCAGGTGGGACTAAAGGGTCCAGAGTGGAACAAGGACATCTCCCCCACACCATTACACCCCCACCACTGTGCATTGATATAAGGAAGGATGGATGCATGCTTTCAGATTCTGACCCAACAGCTAAAATCCAGACTCATCAGATCAGGAAGGGTTTTCCCGTCTCTCGTGGTCCAGTTCTGGTGATCCTGTGTGAATCGTAGCCTCGGTTTCCTGATCTTAGCAGACAGGAGGGACACATGGTGCGGAGTTCTGCTGGGAGATTCTGCAGATCTTAACAGGAACCAGAAGTTTGAGCTTCTGTTGCCTTTTCATTATAAAAGAATAGTTCTAACTTTGACAAATAGCCATAAAGCAAAAGCTAATTTTAGTTAGCTAATGGATGAAACTGCTACGTACACAAGATGCTGGAACGAGAGACTGGTCCTCTGGTTATTCATGTGTCACTGACAACTTCTCTAGTCTTCCAGCATCATGTATGTGAATTAGCCCTTCACGTATTTACATGCATGTGCGTGCTGACTGACTCAGTTACCTGCAGTAGCATCAAATGCTGGATCAGGAACGTTTTCGTGTGCAACTGGCAGAGGGAAGAGGTAGCCACGGGTGCACAGCTTCTGATCTGGCGTGATTGGGACAGTTGAAAGGGTTTGTTTAAAAAAGACTGGAAAAGCCTCAAATAAGTCCCCCTTATAGGCGTGTTGGTCACACTTTAATTCTTCAAATCAGCAAACATCTCAGTAACCGACTAAACTGATCAGCAGATTTAAAATGTTGATTTCACACATTCAGAGAACAAAGGTATCTAAACCATCCTGCCCCTAAGAGAAACAGTCATTGGCCGTCTGTGATTACCTTGATCAGGGGCCACCAACCTGGTGCCCCCAGGAACCAGATAAGGGGCCCTCAGGCATTTTCTCCAAATAGCACAAGCCCAACATAAATAAGAAAGAAAGAAAATTCTCTTTTTTATAGCGCCTCTCAAGAAAAAAAATCACGAGGCGCTTCACAAAAATACATTTTTTAAAATATAATAAAGATTTAGAAAACGATTAAAAATGTTTTAAATGAGCAAAAATTGACGACTGTGATTAAAAATATAAAGAAAGAGCGAGAGAGTGAATGGGAAAGAGGGAAATCAGTGGATCCTGGGGAGGGCGGAGTAAGGAGAGGGTGGTGAAGGTCACACCAAAGCCTGAACAGGTGAGTTTTCAGCTGCTTTTAAAGGAGACCACTGAGTCCACTGATCTCAGGCTCAGACAGAGAGAGTCCCAGATTCTGGGGGCCACAGCAATATATATATATATATATATATATATATATATATATATACAGTGGGGCAAAAAAGTATTTAGTCAGCCACCGATTGTGCAAGTTCTCCCACTTAAAATGACGACAGAGGTCAGTAATTTACATCATAGGTACACTTCAACTGTGAGAGACAGAATGTGAAAAAAAAAATCCATGAATTCACATGGCAGGATTTTTAAAGAATTTATTTGTAAATCAGGGTGGAAAATAAGTATTTGAGCAATAACAAAAATTCAACTCAGTACTTTGTAACATAACCTTTGTTGGCAATAACAGAGGTCAAACGATTACTATAGGTCTTTACCAGGTTTGTACACACAGTAGCTGGTATTTTGGCCCATTCCTCCATGCAGATCTTCTCGAGAGCAGTGATGTTTTGGGGCTGTCGCCGAGCAACACGGACTTTCAACTCCCTCCACAGATTTTCTATGGGGTTGAGGTCTGGAGACTGGCTAGGCCACTCCAGGACTTTCAAATGCTTCTTACGGAGCCACTCCTTTGTCGCCCGAGCGGTGTGTTTGGCATCATTGTCGTGTTGGAAGACCCAGCCACGTTTCATCTTCAAAGCTCTCACTGATGGAAGGAGGTTTTGGCTCAGAATCTCACGATCCATGGCCCCATTCATTCTGTCCTTAACACGGATCAGTCGTCCTGTCCCCTTAGCAGAAAAACAGTCCCAAAGCATGATGTTCCCACCCCCATGCTTCACAGTAGGTATGGTGTTCTTGGGATGCAACTCAGTATTCTTCTTCCTCCAAACACGACGAGTTGAGTTTATACCAAAAAGTTCTACTTTGGTTTCATCTGACCACATGACATTCTCCCAGTCCTCTGCTGTATCATCCATGTGCTCTCTGGCAAACTTCAGACGGGCCTGGACATGCACTGGCTTCAGCAGCGGAACAGGTCAGACACTGCAGGATTTGATTCCCTGCCGTTGTAGTGTGTTACTGATGGTGACCTTTGTTACTGTGGTCCCAGCTCTCTGCAGGTCATTCACCAGGTCCCCCCGTGTGGTTCTGGGATTCTTGCTCACCGTTCTTATGATCATTTTGATCCCACGGGATGAGATCTTGCGTGGAGCCCCAGATCGAGGGAGATTATCAGTGGTCTTGTATGTCTTCCATTTTCTGATAATTGCTCCCACAGTTGATTTTTTCACACCAAGCTGCTTGCCTATTGTAGATTCACTCTTCCCAGTCTGGTGCAGGTCTACAATTCTTTTCCTGGTGTCGTTCGAAAGCTCTTTGGTCTTGGCCATAGTGGAGTTTGGAGTCTGACTGTTTGAGGCTGTGGACAGGTGTCTTTTATACAGATATTGAGTTCAAACAGGTGCCATTAATACAGGTAACGAGTGGAGGACAGAAAAGCTTCTTAAAGAAAATGTTACAGGTCTGTGAGAGCCAGAGATTTTCCTTGTTTGAAGTGAACAAATACTTATTTTTCACCCTGATTTACAAATAAATTCTTTAAAAATCCTGCCATGTGAATTCATGGATTTTTTTTTCACATTCTGTCTCTCACAGTTGAAGTGTACCTATGATGTAAATTACTGACCTCTGTCGTCATTTTAAGTGAGAGAACTTGCACAATCGGTGGCTGACTAAATACTTTTTTGCCCCACTGTATGTGTGTGTGTATATATATATATATATATATATATATATATATATATATATAAATCTGCTGCCATCTTTTGATCAACAATGCATTCATATATATTTTAAAGCAACGCATTCTCGTCTCTCGTCTCGTCTTCCTCCGCTTATCCGGGTCCGGGTCGCGGGGGCAGCATCCCAACCAGGAAGCTCCAGGCCGTCCTCTCCCCGGCCTTGTCCACCAGCTCCTCCGGCAGGACCCCAAGGCGTTCCCGGACCAGATTGGAGATGTAACCTCTCCAACGTGTCCTGGGTCGACCCGGGGGGCTTCTGCCGGCAGGACATGCCCGAAACACCTCCCCGGGGAGGCGTCCAGGAGGCATCCTGACCAGATGCCCAAACCACCTCAACTGGCTCCTTTCGATCCGGAGGAGCAGCGGTTCTACTCCGAGTCCCTCCCGAATGTCTGAGCTCCTCACCCTATCTCTAAGGCTGAGCCCGGCCACCCTACGGAGGAAACTCATTTCGGCCGCTTGTATCCGCGATCTCGTTCTTTCGGTCATTACCCAAAGCTCATGACCATAGGTGAGGATTGGGACGTAGATCGACCGGTAAATCGAGAGCCTGGCTTTCTGGCTCAGCTCCCTCTTCCCCACGACAGATCGGCTCAGCGTCCGCATCACTGCAGACGCCGAACCAATCCGCCTGTCGATCTCCCG